ACTTGCACCGCTTCACAGCTTTACAGGGCATTATACTTCAAGTACAATTACGCACTGGCGTCGGGGAGAGTTATTGCTGAATACGCCCTCCCCATGATTTTTTTTCTCTCTGCCGTTACGATTTTTCCTTAACCGTCCAACCATCTTTCCAAACTTTCTCGAAAATCTTCCGTGCAAAACGTGAGGGTGATGTGTTGAACTATCAGAAAAATTTTGCGGCGGTCTCGAGAAGGAGAAATATATAACGCACGAGGAACAAAATCAACAATCAAAAGGTAATTTAATCAAAAAAAATTGAAAACAATCACAAGAATGACACGACTCCCCTTCCTCCTGGGTCTAGGTAGAACCGCCCCCCCCCCATAGAGATCAGCAATTGCGACGTACCCTGTCAGCTAGGACTTGTTAAGATTGCAATGCTTCAAAGAGGAGAAGAAAAAGATGGCGGTTACTGTAAGCCACACTGCTGCAATGGCGAACACCATCAGACTCCTGGACTTTTATACGGTTGGTGGCCCTATCAGCGGAGAGAACAAAGTTTTCTTCTCTCCGATATCAGCTGTCTGTTGCAGCTATTTCGCTTGCTATAGTGGAGCAGACATGATCTCAGACCAAGGTGGTGCCATATGGTAGTAGCAGCTTTCGTAGCTCTCCATGTTTACAAGAAAAAAAAATCAAACATCAGCTCTTGTTGTAAGGATTATTTAGTGAAGCAGTTTGTTATCAGTTTTCTTCTCCCTACGCTAGGGGGGGGGGGCATTTTCCACTGTTGCTGGTTCCTTTTGCTAGTTCATGCAAACTAATAGGCTTGTGCACTCTTGTGAAGCAGCGAAATGGTGCAAATGAGCTACTTTTTGGTCTTCACGGAACACTAAGGGACTCTTAAATCCGAAAAGTTTGGGAGGACGCTCGATATTCGAATTATAGCACATTCCGACCGTAACCTGCTTTACTGTTGGAGCTCCCTCTCCTTTTTTCTTCAGCTTCCTGAATGTAAAGCAGGCTAAGGACCAACTATCCTCCGAATGGACGGACATAGAAGCTTAGTGGCATAAATCGCTCCTGATAAGCAGCATTTCAAAGGTACATCGAAACGGCGAGAAGGACTACCCAAAGTATTCAAGTCATTAAGCTTGTTTCCGAAAGTCTGTTAACCTTCGAAATGTGTTCTATTTCAACGAACTAGGAATTCCATACCGGTGTGGCGCTACTTACTGCACTAACGCTATGAACATTCGATATTTCTGGTCAGCAATCCCATTTTCGCAGCTCTGCAGAAGGTCGTCGCTGCTGCCCCCTATATGTGGCAGTTCTGACGCCTCCCTAGTTGCTCCGCCCACCTAAGCTGAAAAGTTGTTTTCTGTCACGAGTTCAGTTTTTACATCACGCTTTTCTCTTTTTTTTCATGCTAGATGATTTCTCTCACGAAGCGCCTCGCGCTGATCATTCGTGAGAGAAATAGACCTTTGTTTGAGCCGGAAGGTATCCGGAAAAGCTGACAACGGGTCTGCCGGACCAGGGTCCTGAGCGGATGCAGGCGTACAAGCTATTGTGTTATGGTAGACCATGTCAAGGATTCGATGGCCCGTGGTGCCTGGTTCCACACGAGAAACTATGTGTAGCATACGGGAGACTGCCTCATTCGCTGGATTTGCTCGATTTCGTAAGTTTGGCGAGGCGAACATAGCCGTCGGCGATTAGTCGCCCGTCGAGGATACGTTCCGTACGTGTCCATGAGTTTCATGAGTCCTGCGTGGTTCCAGGTGAAGCCAGCGGCGCGTACCGACACTGGAGACAACGGACTCTACGCGCATCGTCATGGTATAGTCAGCTTCAGCCACCCAAAAGTCAAGAGGGCGAGGTGGAACAAGAGCGTTGAAAGACGATGCATTTTAGGACGGGCAGTGCTGTGTTTCTGGAGTGGTTGTTGAACTCATTGGCACGATCGGTCAGCCAGTTCTT